AAATGGAGCATTTTGAACAAAAAAACACAACATCTATCTGCATTAATTTTATTGAAATATATGAAAAACTGGACGCAATTCAGACCTTAAAATCGATATTTTGCGGAAAAATGGACCAAGCTGATCATCCATGCGCATTAAATTTACAACCAAAAGAAAGGGGGCTGCAGCAAAAAACAAAGAAACTGGCATACCGAAGAGGCTGTGTTATTTCTTGAAGAAAAAAGCATTCATTGTGGCATTTTTGGAGGTTTGTTTGTTGCACGGCCTGCCAGAAATCGTTAAATCAATTGCAAGGAACGGAGATAACTGCTGCTGGAACTGGTCTTGTTGCCTGAGGACGAACGGGCCCCTCCTTGTCTTTGGTCTGTAACAAATGTGTTTGTGGCGGAGCAATAGCTCTGGCGCCCACCCTCCACTGATTCCTTGAAATGTCCGCAATTTTTTTTTTTAATTCACCGAACGCAACTGGAAAAAGTAGCTGTTGCAGTTCTTCGCAAAATGTTTCCATTACGATAAAAATTATATTACACTGAACATGCTAAAAATCAGAATTTAAGTACCCAATTTCTAATTACCGAAAAGGGCACAAGCTTCAATCAAATTACCAGTTCGAGTCTAAGATCGAGCTCCACACATCAATGCATCAAGCTCCCAGCTAAAGCAAACTTAATATAGCATAAACTTGAATAATAATAATAATAATAGTAATAATAATAGTAACAACAATAATAAAAATAACAATAATAAATAATAATAATAGCAAAAGCGTAGAAACGATGAAAGAAATGAGGAAAAAAGAGGAATATCGAGATTTTTTAGGAGATGTAGACAGGCTAGTAGCACAAAAGCAAACGAAAAATGCAGATCATAGACTTCAGTTTACATAGAATTCAATCAGCGAGCTTTCCATTGAGATCAACAAGCAGTCTGAGAATCTTTAGCGTATTATGAGTGTGAAATACAAGCCAATCATGCGTGTGGAATTGGTGAAATATTGGCCAATGTATTTGAATCATCTTCCGAACGATCAGGTCGTGATGTTGCTGCCGAGATACTTTCTAAAGATGAAAACAGAAGTAAGAAACTTCAATCGTTAAAAAAACCAGGAAAAAAACGCGAAACATCCTACATGTAAGAGCTTTTTGCGCCTGGAATATAGATCTTTTAGGATCTTGCAGCAGTAGCATGGCCGACGGGTTCTCATAGAATTATAAAAAAGTTTTTGCTTTAAGAAAACTGGGCTAACAGTATTTTGAGACAACAAATTTACAGAATTCTCAGAATCAGTTAAAAAAAAGAAAAACTGTTCACCTAATCTCTCCTCTTCATTATCTTCGGTATTATTAGGGACTGCAGGATTTACATCGTTGTCGTTCGAAGAGATTACTGAACGTTCAGCGACTTCTTCATCAGATTTTGGTGACCACTCATGGACGCTGGGCAATCGTCGCGATGCTGACATGCTGCCCGGGACGATACTCCCATCAGGTCGTAGGGACACAATCGTCAGTGATGGCCTGGAAAAAATGCACATTAAAGAAAATAGGCTTTTGTTTCGGAGCCCCTAATAAATTACATACAAGCATAATTCATTAAAAAAAAATTCGACATTTTTCCGAACCACAAACGAAAATTGTCGCTGTAACGCGGAAATGTTGAGCAGTCGAAATAAAGTACAGCTCAGAATTCGTTCCCAATCAAAAATCCCTTACCACGGAGACTTATTGAATTTCATTTACAAAAAGAGGCAGTAGACTAAAAACAGACAAACTTCAATGGAAAGTGGAGCTATTCTTCCCGCTGAGGGGTGAGGGTCCACGCCGGTGAAGTCCCTCTCTATAATTCGTTCATTTGTTTAGATTGTAAACTGGTACTGGTACATTCTGAGAAACTAAATCTCCACTAGACTGCTTATAAATAAATCTTGAGAGAGAAGCTTTTGACAATCTTGCCAGTTGCCAACTGTTGTTGGCAAGTGCTGTCGTGAAGGGAGCTTTTTCGAAAATTGTTCTGGCCCGGGATGGAATCGAACCACTTCCTTTTAAGCCGGGACGCGATATGTTACCACTACACCACCAGTCCTTGTCCTCCATGTTCAGCTTGGCAGCACTTCTACCGTGTCTTTCAAGGCAAGGTACACCTTTCTTTTTGTTTGTCGCGGCTTTTTGGCCGGCTCTCTCGAGGTTTTCCACAACAAGTGCTACCATTTGCGCCTCATCCGATTGCCTTCAAAACCCATGGAAAGTGAGCGCGGAGAAGGTTCTGTCTTTTGAAATAAGCAACATTCTGACTTCCACTGCGATGCTCACCTTAGTAAAACCGTATCAAAAAGCCGCTTTGGTAACTGCCCAGCACTGTTATCAGATGTTGTATTCGAACTGGAACTGCCTTCGGCAACTCCCATTTCAAGGATTGTATTGACGCCCACATCCACACCCTTCGCTGGTTGTCTCTCACACATTGCGGAATCCGTTGAAACTGCTGCATCTGCTGTTGAAACTGTTGCTGGTATGTAACGTACTGTAGCTTTATCATCGTCGGATGAACATTTTGATTTTGTCTTAAAAATAAAAAAAGAAATAAGCAGGCAAAATGTCCCAGAAATTTGATGCTACCATGCATTTTTTTTTGATAAGTCATGCAGACGTACAGTAAAAAAATGTGTGAAAAATCCATCATGGTCACTG